AATAAATAAATAAATAAATAAATAAATAAATAAATCAAAGCTTTTGAGAAACCCTAAAGTGCAGTTAATGATGGAGAACTGGGTTAGAGTCTGGAAAACGTTTTGATTTCTCTTTAGTATACAGTGACTCTTTGATGCAAGAACTTATTAATGATTGGAGTTAGAATGTTGTTGGTAAAGTGAAGCGTGGGGGGGGGGGGCCCTTGGCCCAGCAGAACTTCAGAAAGAAAAAAAAAAACAGGTTATATTTCCTTTTGTTAAAAGATGGGACTGGGACTGGAGAGATGGCTCAGCTGTTGTGAATGTGCTGCCATTTCAGAGTCCCAGAGCTTGGTTCCCAGCACCCAGCTCCAGGGGATCTGACACCCTCTTCTGGCCTCTGTAGGCATATGCACACACGTGGCATAGATAAACACAGCATAAATTTTAAAATTTTAAACAAATAAGTAAAAGATGGGACTGGAGAGATGATTCAGTTGTTAAACTGTTTGCTACACAGACACGAGGACACAGAACTCGTACCCCAGCACCCACAGAAAAAGCCAGGCCTTGTGGTCCACTTAAAACTCTAGTGCTGTGGGACTGGAGAGACGGCTCAGTGGTTAAGAGCACTGACCACTTTTGCAAAGGACCCAGGTTCGAGTCCCAGCACCCACATGGTGGTTATGAACCATCCTTAGCTCCAGTTCCAGGGGAATCCGAAGCCCTCTTCTGACCTCCACAGCATTGCACAACACAGGTGCACTCACATACATGCATGCATTACACTCATACACATAAAATAAAAATATTTTTTAAAAATTTAAAGAAAAACAACCTCCAGTGCTGCAAAGTGGAGGAGACTGGGGTAAGTGCTGGGGACTCACTGACCAGCCAGCCTGGCTGAAATAAGAGAGACATCGGTATTGACCTCTGGCCTCTACATTGCACCCACACAGGAGACCATACCCACACACGTGCACATACACATGCACACCCCCCCACACAGTAATTCCACTGGTGGTAAATGGGGGATTGTTAGACATAAGTACTTTTAGGTTTCCTTTGACCATAAAGCAATCTCTTACCCTAGTAGACATAAGAAGGATTTGTGCTTACTAGATAAGGTATAGTTTGTATTCATTTTACTAAACCAGACATGTTGATTAACAAGTTGGTATTGGCCTGGAGAAAGGTCCTCAGAGGTAAGTTATAAGGGCTCTGTTCTTGTTTGTACTCTGGCTAATAGTTTAATATCATGAATGTAAGAACCATGCTTCTCGAGTTAATAGACACAAACCATGGAATCAGAATTAAGTACCATGTTAGACAACACTAAGATTTTTTTTTTTTTCTTTCCAGTACTGAGTGTTGAGTCTAGGGCTTTAAGCATGCTAGGCAAGTGTTTTACCAATGAACTATATCCTTAGCTCTGGAGAGTTTGTAAAGGCAGAAACAGTAGACTAAAACTGACAAAGCATAACTCGCTAGAAGTAATTATGTTTACAGAAACTCAGCTGTACATGTGTAAGATGAGGAAGACCTGTCTTCACAAAGGTGGTTTTACAATGCCATGGTAAATTTAGAGAAACAAAATAGTGTGCAGAATAGCAGTATCCTAGTCTAAAGTCAGACATACTAGGCCTCTGCCTCTTGTTAATCCTGACAGGTTGTTTGGTACCATTGACTCTAGATTGTCAGTGATAAATCCTGAAACTAAGAAAACATGCCAGATGTGGTGGCACACATTTGGAAGGCTGAAACAGGAACATTATAAGCTATAGGCTAGTCTGGGCTACATAGCCAGCTCCAGGCCAGAAGAAGAATACAAGAATTATGTGAGCACCGATCTGTGATGCTCAGCAGTGCTTTAGACTGCTTTCCAACTTAAAAGTCCCCTTAATGCATGAAAGTTCGTGAGAAACTAGCTAGGGCTGTTAAGGGGAACCTTGTGTCTGAGTAAGAGGATCATGTAGTGGCCTGTTTTAACATTTACTCCTGCTTTGTAGAACTCTAAATGTTGGAAATGCATTTCCTGTAAGATGACTGAAAGGTGTTATTGAAATGCATTGGTGGGTTGCTCATTTATGGGGAGAGTTTTCATAAATCTCTCATCTTCACAGCAGTCACAAGTTGCTGATGAGAACATTTATAACTTCAGAGTCCTGGGATAAACAGTTGAACACAATGCAACAGGGTCATCTTTCTTCAGGGCGAGGACTGATTTCTATGCTGTTACTCTTGTTTATGTACACTTCCTTACCAGAGCCTGAGGAGATGCACTAAATCTTAGGGTGAAATATGGCGGGGGTTGTAGGTAAAACATACTTGTTTATGATCTCTCTCCGCTTGTGCACTGAGAGTCCTTCGCGTTGGGTTGTCCCTCACCCTTCCCTACTCTGCCCCTTCCATGCTGGCTACTTCTCAGAGAAAGCACAGGTCCTCGGGTCCTCTCTTAGGAGTCACTTCTTCCCAGTTACAATATTTCTTTCTCCAACTTTTCCTCCTCAGAGAAAAGGCTTCCTTTCCCATGAAGATAATTCTGCACCTTGGCCAGTGAACCCCCTCATGTAGTGGTTTTTCTCCTTCTGACTTCTGCCGTCCTCCTCCTTTATGCTTTAAGACAAGAACAAAAATCTGCCCTGCTTTTTCATCCTGTTCTTTTATCAACAGATACCTCAGGAAAACCCATAACTTATTTCATAGTCCTCTTTAGATTTTCTTCACTTCTCTCCCCCCCCTTTTTTTCTTTCTTTCTTTTTTTTTTTTTTTTTTTTTTTTTTTACAGAGCCTCCTTGTAGTCCTACTTGGCCTAGAACTTGCTGTGTAGAC